AATCATGTCAATGCCACTACTTAACTTTTTAATAAAAATTTCGCCTGTTCCGAAAAGAAGTCTGTGCAATTGCGTTATGATGAAAAAATGCTATTATTAGAATGTGCTGTATTACAGAGATGCCAACTTGCTCCGGACAGCAAATAAATATTTTCGAGTGGTAGTTTATTAATGTGTGATTCTTGGCTTAATAAATTCAACTTATTAGGTTTTAATACACCACTATTTCTAAATTATTCGAAGACTTATATAATTCGCCACTTTGCGATAGTTAGTCATGCTACGCCGTTTAAAATGTAGACGAATTTTGTCAAATATTTGCAAATTTATATTTGTAGTTGTTTACCGCTTTAAAAATTTTTCTGACGCGTACGGAGCAGTTGGCATCTCTGATATTATGGAGAGAAAAATATAGTTCATTAATGTGTATTTATTATAATAGAAACCACTAAATTTTCTAAAAAATTATATTATTACAGATCCAGATTATTTCAGTGCTGACGTAATATAACCTCAGTTGTAGCGGATTATGGGTATGTGTCGCCTTTCCGTCGGGCTGACAGTGGGCGGTCTCCGTGGTTTTCCTCGCCATGTAACGCAAAGCGAGTTACTTCCATCAGAAATTCGTCTCCATGAATGCAAAATTGTCCAAAATGTTTGATCGTAGTTCGCTTGTCTTCTGGATTGGGTTCAAAATTGCAATGCACGGAATTGAACATTAGTAGTCGTAAGCCCAAAACTGGTTCGGCTGTTCAACGACAGTTATAAAATATCACTTTAAAAGCTTTTAATGATTTATCTATTGTGGCGGTAACTCATATTTTGTTACGACAAGATAAAAGCTAATAATAAAGTAATTGTGCTATCAGTTTTTATTTATTTACTTGAATTTAAAAAAATCTAAATAGTATCTAGAGTTAGTTCAAAACCAGTACAAGATGAATCGGTTGATGGCACTACATATCCAGTCACATTACTATAATTTCAAACTATATATATAATCTTGCCGTGAAGATAACAAACAAATAACTCGAATATTTTAAAAGTCATTAAACTTTTTTAAGAATCGCCAATTTGGCGACATTTTTCCACCTAGATGAAAATTATCAGAGCTGCTTTATTCTCAGTTTTTGCAAAATTTTTGTGAGCCTTAGGTAAAATTTTCACAAAACTCTGTCTTTTCTCCATATTGACGTTTTGCGCCATTTTCAAAACAATCAAAGGCAACGCTGGCTTTAGATAGGCTAAACTTGGCCTAACAGCCAGGGTTAGGCGCTCCGAATTAATTTTAAAGTCAGTCAGTCAGGGTGGTTTGATAAGTTCACTCAATGAATAGATTTGAAAATCTTGCTACCACTTTTTATTAATTTTCTAAATTCGGAGTTATGTTTCGTTCAATATATATACATATCAATGTTCTTATGCATTGAAAAACAATGTATATAATGTATGCATCATGAAGAGCTGCCAACTTTCCATGCTTTTTGTAAAAATTTATTCCACTGGTAGCTATGTTTATGTTTAAATGCATAACTTTTTAATCATTTAAACTTATTTTCCACACCAATACATATAAATAATTATAAAGTTCATATACAACGTCACTTTGTCCCAGCTCCATCGTGGTGAGGCTTATAAAATATTGGCAAAATTACTAAAAATTCTGAATTCTTAAATATCTACCACTGTGTAAAATATTTTGCAAAAAGCGTAGAAGTTGGCAAGTCTGTGTATGTATGTAATGTGGCTGTCTTAATCAATGTATGTTGTTAAACAACGATAAAATATATTAAATGCGTATCGTTACCAATTTATAAATAAAATGGATATCAGAAAATCAGCAGTAATCACGCCTCGGTCTCTAGCGTTTTCTAAAGGGAAGAAAACGATTACTTCATTTCATTTTGTAAAAAAAAAATATATATAAACTCAAGAGTTTCATAATTAGCACTTATTTTCCAGAAACTAGATTGTTCTGTCTACCTTAACACTCTCATTGTCAGTCATACAATATATATCAATGAAGAGTATTAATCCATAAAGGTAAATTGAAAGTTAAATTTTGCAATTTTAGCAACCATTTTAGTTTTTAAATTTGACAATAAGTTTGTTTTATTAAACAATATGTTATTGCCATGTGAGAACTTTAAGTTTCTGCTAAAGTAGTCAGATAATGATATGCTTGCTACCTTCTGATCAGTTTTATTGACAGAAACTGTAGGAAAGAATTTTATCGCGCTATATCGCGTGATTGCCAAGGAAAAGTGTTTACCTATTATTTGAGACAGCCTTCTTTTAAAATAACCGTTACCTTCAACAAAGGAATGGTTATTCTTTATGCTAGGCAGACTAAAGCAAAAAAAAAAAAAAAAAAAAAAAAAAAAAAAAAAAAAAAAAAAGGAAGAAAAGAAGAAAAAAAAAGTGATTAAAGCACAATTGAAAATTCATAATGTCTGAGAAATGTACTTGTTAATAGAACGATACTATAGTATGTCAATTTATGTATTTTCATTTGTGCTTTATTCAAGTTGATTTTTGCTTTAGTCAACAATTATAATTTTCAAAACATAAAAAATTGGTGAAACAGATGTCTCCCGATAAAGAAATATTTTCCAGAAAGTTCTATACACCATTACAAATTAATAATATAAATACTATTTATTTCTGAATCTGAAGTCAAATGCACAGAGCTTCGTTGAAGATAAAGTGATGGTTGGAGCACCCTACAATATATGCAGTTCATGTAAAACTGCCAACTTTCCACGCTGTTAGAAAAAATTTCTTCTAGTGGTAACTAAGTTTATGTTTTTTTCTTTTTATAATTTTGATTAAAAGTTATAAGATATTTATTCACACCACTATTTATAAATGATTCGAAATCTTATATACAAAGTCACTTCCATTCTTCCCTCACGTGGTGAGGCTTTTAAACTGTTGGGAAACCTACCACTCAAAATATTATTTTACAAAAAAAGTAGCTAAGCAGTGCTGCAGCTGAGCTTTTATATATATTTATTAAATTACTTAATGTACTGGTGGACAAGATTTTTTAATTCTAATTTGATAAAATCTATATATATATATTTCTCTTACACGGCGACAAAAAAAAGCCTCATTACAACTCCCCGAATGGCAACGCTAGAAAATCGACCAATGATTGCCGCTAAAAATGTCACCAAATGCCGCTAAAAATGCCAAATCTAGCTGAGATGGCTCAACATATAGCGCTTTTAGAAACGGAAACTGAAATAACCAGAGAGAGCATAAACTAGGCAGAAGTGAGTAGTCTTTGTCGATAGATCTCTATTTTAGTATTTTGTCGAAAGCGCTTTTTTTCACGAATTTATATATTACGAATTTATTTGACGATTTTTGATTTATATCACGAATTTATTTGTTTTACTAGAATTTATTTGTTTATGCAGGTTTTTCCATTACAATTCACTTATTTCAATTTTTAATAGACTTAATTATAGCCAAAATTTTAACCTTTTTAAAGAGATATCAGTTTTAGAAATTTTATCTTAAAATTTGATACTGTAGCAAATTTTTAATAGGTTTAACGAATTACATGTCATTTACTTGAATTCAAATTTATTTTAATGACTTAGTATTCACTAAAAAGATGTAATTTTTTTTTAAAAAAAGTTGTTTTTTGATTTGAATTATTGTTTTGAATTCTTAGAATTTTGTGCATTTGCAATGTACCTAATTTTTTAGCGAGCGAAGCGAGCTTGGTTTGCGAAGCAAACCATATAAGATTGCGTAGCAATTTTCGGGGGGTGGCGAGCGTTAGCGAACAGGGGGCGCAGTCCACTAGTATTAATAAATTACTCTTGCTACCAACAGGAAAAATATATTCTGAAATATTTGGATGAGTATGTGGTAAGTTGTTGCAAGAAATATCCACTCGAATTAAAAAAATATGTACAACTACTTTTTTTTCACATTTGCATTTGTATACCATTTTTTTATGATTGAACATTAATAAACACTAATTAGTCCTTTTATGCTTAAAGCTAACACAATTTTAGGTTTTAATTTAGTTTTAAAAATAATAATTAAATGAAACATAGAAAGAAGTTTATGTCAAAAGAAAAAAAAAATTAAAACGTAAGTTTAGTTATAAAGATAAATTATAATAACAGAAGAGCTTTGGCAGTTAATTAAATACTAAAAGTACCACATACATCATCATTTTAAAAATGTCGGAAGATTTTGAAATATGAATCACACTTTCCCACATCTCTTCACTAACAAGTTATTTAATATGTATTATTTTATATTTATCTGCTTTCTCAAGGTCCTCTACAGCATTTTCTCTAAAGCTTGCAAAGAAAAAAGTCATAGCATTTGGAAAAATCGTAGACCGTTATTTTCTTCCCTGTAAAATTTTTATAATTGTATGTGGTAAAAATTTTTACAAGCAATTCTAATAATTTAATACAAACTTTAAAACCAACAAAGTTTGACCAAAAATTTTAATATTTCACAACTTTTGAACTTTATAAAACATAAAAATTAATTAAAAGCGCTTTTATTTAAGTTCTTTAAAATAAATATGAGCACAAAAGAAAAAAAAAATTTGCTAATTTTTTTTCACTGCATCTTTAAGGTAGCAAAAAATTATAATAGTTATGTTATTAAATTCAAGAAATTGCTGAGAAATGAATCTACCTCTTGCCGTCAGTATGCAAATTGGAGTAGTTTAAATAGAATATGACACGATTATTTTCTTTAAAAAAAACAGCTTCGAAAGCAGAATTTAATTATCATTTATTGTATTTCCAGATTCGTACAAGTGTACCCCTTTGACCCCCCCCCCTTGCGGTTTTCTATGTCTATTTTGTTGCGATTATTTACAGATTGTTAACAGATTGTTCTAAGAAAAGCATTCCAAAATTATTTTTTTGTTTAAAAATAATATAATTGAATGTTTTTTTTTTGTTGTTGTTGTTATATCGGAAGTAAAGAACTAAAATAGGAAATTGGGTACTTACGAAACCATATCCTCTGCTTTTTCCGGTCTGTCTATCCGTTATGACAACAGCTTCTTCTATATCACCGAAAGCTTCGAAAAACTGTCTCAGAGACTTGTCGGTGGTGTGATAGGGTAAGCCCCCGACGAATATTTTCGTCAATGTGGTATCTTTTTGCTGAATATTTGTCGTAGTCATCAACTGATGCTCAATGTCCGACATATCGTCGTCAATGTAGTAATCCAGACCGAACAATAAATAAACCAATATTCTATAAATAATAAGTATAAAAAAAAAGAAAGAATTGCGACAAAAAAAGCTCGAATGCAAACGAACTTATTAAAAAGATGAGTCAATAAAAAACGATGTATAAACAAACAAAATATCACAGTTCTTTTCTTGTATCACAATCAGTGTTTTCTGTAATGTTGTCTGAGGAGAGGTGAACCTCAGGTGAAAAATATTCCAACCGAGAGAAGACTTCTGATGACGGTCTGAATCAGAAACACATGTGACACACCGTTTAGGGGGTAGGGGAGGATTAACACACGCGCTAGGCGCGCGTAGGACATCCAATGACAGAATTCGAATGTCTTGAGACATGCGCCGAATCTGCGCGGTTCCAAACAGCTGGTCGACAATATATTTTCGTTCACGCAAAGGAAACTCAGAGGTAAGTAGAGGGGGATGGAGAAGGTGGGAGTGAAAGTAGGATGTCACACTCGCGATGAGCGCCCACGTGTTTTAGAAGAGTTTATCGCTTTCTTCCATCTTTTTGTAGATTCGGATTTTTATTTCCTATTTATTCTACCGTTTTAAATATAAGGTAGGTTATTTACTTTAAAAGTGTTGATTATTTTTTTTCTCGATTCGGTTTTTTTATTAACGAAGGAACCTTGTTTTGATGTCTCAAAAGCGATTTTTTTACTTAGGTTTTGTCAGTGGTGTATTCTGAAGAGGCGCTGATGTAGTTGCTACCTACTTCAAAATAAATTTTTGATTATTATTTTTTATTTTATTTTTTTTTTAAATAATAAAATACTTCATATAATTATTATCATACTGTAATTGAAATTTGAATCCAAATTTGTAGATTCGGGTTTTTATTTCCTATTTATTCTACCGTTTTAAATATAAGGTAGGTTACTTACTTTAAAAGAGTTGATTATTTTTTTCTCGATTCGGTTTTTTTTATTAACGAAGGAACCTTGTTTTGATGTCTTAAAAGCGACTCTTTTAATTTGGTTTTGTCAGTGGTGTACTCTGAAGAGGTGCTGATGGTGTTGCTACCTACTTCAAAATAAATTTTTGATTATTATTTTTTTTTTTTTAAATTTTTTGTTCACCTTTTACAGAGATGCCAACTGCTCCGGACACGCCAAAATAATTTTTAAAAAAACGGTAAATAACTACATAGTAAAATTTGCAAATATTTGACTATTTTTGCTTGCTTTTTAAAAGGTAGAGCATTACGTAAGTACTTTAAAGTGGTGAATTATATAAGCCTACGAATTATTTAGGAATAGTGGTGGATAAAAATATACTAAATTGAATTTATTAAGCCAAGAATCACAATTGATAAACTACCACTTTAAAATAATGCTGTCCGGAGCAAGTTGGAATCTCTGCTTTTATGAAGTTATTATCACCTATTAGCTGAGTTATGAAATCAAACAGCGGATAATAAAATACTTCTAATAATTATTATCATACTATAATTGAAATTTGAATCCAAATTTGTAGTTTCGGTTTTTCTTTAATTTCCTATTTATTCTACCGTTTTAAATAAACGTAGGTAATTATTTTTAAAAGAGTTAATTTTTTTCTCGATTCGGTTTTTTATTAACGAAGGAACCTTGTTTTGATGTCTCAAAAGCGACTCTTTTATTTAGGTTTTGTCAGTGGTGTAGTTACTCCTACTTAAAAATAAATTTTTTATTATTAATATTATTTTAATTTTGCTCAGTTCACCTATCAAAATAAAATCAATAAGTGGAGAATGAAATACTTTATATTAATTGTTATCTAAATATAATTGAAATTTACTTCCAAAGTTATAGATTCGGTTTATAATTTACAATTTATTCTACCGCTTTAAATATAGGTTGGTAATTTATTTTAAAAGAGTTTATTATATTTTCTCGTTTCTGTTTTTCATTAAAAGAAACCTTGTTTTAATGTTCTAGAAGCGACTGCTTTACTTAGGTTTTGTCAGTGGCGTATTACGAAGAGGCACTACCTACTTCAAAAAAAAAATTTTTTTTTTTTGTTTCTTTAAATTTATAATTATTATTATTTTTTTTAGTTTAGTTTAGTTAACCTAATAAAATGAAATCAATAATGGAGAAGTAAATACGTTAGCTTCAGCTTCATATAACTATTATGATACTGAATTTGAAACTTCTATCCAAATTTCCATAAATAAAATTTCTTTTTTCAATTGATTGCATTTCGTATCTCCCCCCCCCCTCAATGCCTTTATTCAAAGGAGACACTGGTGTGCATGTTTCCTATTTAGAGATCTTCAATTGAATTTTAGATAATGTTTTATTTCACATTCCATTTAAATTCCTTTCTGAAGATGCTAACTGAGCTGCTCTCCAATTGGTTGAAATTGACTAAGAAGGAGTGCAATTAACTATCATCGAACGCATATAATCATTATGATATTCTTGTATCAAAATTCCCATACAATTAATTTATTTCTTTTTCAGATATTTTAACTGTACATATATATCAGGAAGATGGGGTAGTGTACATGGGGCTAGAGTACACAAATGGAATATTTCTATTATTTATCGCTCAAAAAATCAAAAGTGATACCAAAAATAATTTTCTTAAAACAATTATTTGAATGAATCTTTCAAGTTCTTGTATAATAACAATTAAGGTAAGCAATATTCTTAAATATTTTAACCTTTATTCAATGACGATACTTCAATCGAATTGAATAATTAAACTTGTAGTATAATTACGCCCACTCTTTAAAAGTGACACCTCGAGATAATTGCAATAAAGTTGCATTTGATATGAAACTTCGAATTTTTGATTTGTGCTGGTGGAAAATTTATTTGAAATGAAAAACCTTAAACTAAAAATAACTTAAATTTCATTGCCACTAGAAAATATATTTTTTTTTTTACTAAACAAAGCAAGTTGGCATTTCGGTGCAAGTTGCTCTTTTTAAGCTATTTTGATTTATCCGGAAAGTTCGTACCGATTTTCATACCTGCAAACTTTTAGTCCTTTCGAGTATGATTTTCCCCAGTGGAAGTAAAATGGAATTAAATTACAATTTTAGGCAGAAATGTACGTTCATACCTACTAACTTTCACATTTGGCGTAAAATTTTATTTCTATATTTAAAGTGGTAGTAAAATGTATGCTTTCTATATTTTGCTTGGATTTATAAACTTAATTTATAATTTTTTTGATCACCACTATTTTTTTAAAAATTTAGCATATATATTAATATGCAAAACCGCGATAAACTGTTTCAAATTACCGCGTATGTTTCTACCTAAAATTGTAATTTAAATTNTATACACTGTTTTCTTTATTTTAATATACTGTCATTAGTGACTAGGCACCCCCCTTTTCCGCCCCACCCATTATTTATTTCAATGCGATGAAAGAGCAGATATCCCCTAGGGGATAGGCACTCTGTAAAATATGATTAGTTAGTTAGTTAGATAAGCTGTTTCAAATTACCGCGTATGTTTCTACCTAAAATTGTAATTTAAATTCCATTTTTCTACCACTGGGGAAAATCATCCTCGAAGGAATTAAAAGTTGGTAGGTATAATACGTTCTATTATAAAAAAGGTTAACAGACTTCCACAACAGTATTACATATTAATATATATGCTTAATTTTTTTAAAAAATAGTAGTGGTCAAAAAGATTCTAAATTAAGTTTATAAATGCAAGGAATATGTAGAGAGCATACATTTTACTACTACTTTAAATAAAATTTTACTCCAAAGGCGTGAAAGTTGTCAGGTACGGATTTTCGAAATACGGAGCTCCCAAAGGTTTGCTAAAACATTTCAGAATTTATGCTGTAAAATATATTTGTGATTGCGTGTTGCTCTTTTTAAGCTATTGAGTTATCCGGAAAGTATTCGTACCGATTTTCATACCTGCCAACTTTTAGTCCTTTTGAGTACGATTTTCCCCAGTGGTAGTAAAATGGAATTAAATTACAATTTAAGACAGAAGCATACGTTGTATTTTGAAAAAGGTTGTGCGAACTACGTAAGATTGTACGAAAGGTTGTACGATTGTATTACATATTATTATATATGCTTAGTTTTTTTTTTTTTAAATAGTGGTCCTCAAAAATATTATAAAAGTTTATAAATGCAAGGAATATGCAGAAAGCATACATTTTACTACCACTTTAAATATGGAAATAAAATTTAACTCCTAATGCGTGAAAGTTGGCTGGTACGGATTTTCGAAATGCGGAGCTCCGAAAGGTCTGCTAAAACAATTCAGAATTTATACTGTAAAATATATTTGTGATTTTAAACATGTTTTAAAACGATTTTTTAAATTTTCATGCTCACCATAAAGATTTGGAAACTTATTACATACATAGAAGTCTGATAATGAATATAATCAAAATTGAAGTGGTTGTGAAGTATTCAATTCAAATGCTTTGACGAGTTGTTTGCCACCACTTGAATGAATATTTTTGGCGGATTTTAATGAGCTCCGCCAATGGAAAATAGGTACGAGCTTTATGAACGACCAATACTGTCATGCTAACAAAAAGTAGTCTGGTCGTTAACCTCTCCAAGACGAGCGAGTTCTATTTGCATTCTCAAGGTGTCGACAAGAAGTTTTATTAAAGCAAAACATTTTCTAACGAATGCTGTAAGCATAACAAAATGTCAGATCTAAGTTTCTTAACCGAAACGGGAAAAAACGAAAATGCAATATGATGCATATAACCCTATAAAAATATTGAACTCCTCCAAAACTTCCTCAGAAAGATAAAAACTGGGGACTTAATTTAATATCATTTTTTAAATTCATTTCGATGCAATAAAGACATTTGTTGAAAGAAATTCTTGATTTGTTGATCTATCTACAAAAAGAATTTGTGGATCTGCAACCACAGACAAATCTATAGTTTCCACTTTTATGTTAGAGCATTTGTGGAAAAAAAACCCGTTTTTTTAAGGGTAGCATAAGCAGGTTTCCCGCGGGTTTGGTAAATTTTAAGAAGTGGTAACGAAAATTAAACAAATGTCGATAGTTTAATTTCTGTGTAACTACCACTAAAAATTGTTTTCTGAAACCCTGAAAAAGGTTAAACTGTCATCCAACTGATTCCAGCTCCTTACTACGGTAAGGAGCTTAACTACTAGTTAGATTAAGTACGAGATAAATTTGTTTATTGTTTTCTTTTTATTATTTTCAACTCAATTTATGAAGTTCGTTGTATTAGTTTGATTAATTGTTTTACTCTAGAACTACCAAGACCATCAATTTGACAGTTTTCAATTTTTTTAAAATTATAAATTATGTATATTTCTAGGATTTTTTGAGGACTGTAAAGGAAATATAAAAGCAACCATTTTTACTTTTATGATCTGTATGACCTATACTTGTTTATACAAAAACTCCTCAAATTGAAGGTATTAGCAGGCCTGCCAAATACTACACTTTTTTTGCAAAATATTTTACAGAGTGGTAAACATTTGAAAACCAAAACTTTCTGAATCTTCGATAATTTTGCTAGTGTTTTGAAAGCATCACCACAAAATAGCTCCAACGAAGTGGCCTTGCATATGAACTTTTAAATCATATATCTGTA